GTACACACACGCGCGCGCGGACACACACAGGCGGTTTTGAGCGGGTGTGAAAAAGACAGGGAGAGCACTGTGCATACACCTGAATATACAGTTCTAGAAAAACAACCTCACAGCTGGAGCCCACAATCTAACTCTTTGTCTTTCTCAGAGGAGTGCAGAGACATCAAACACATCATTCCAGCTTTTGATCGTGTTACACACTGGTATCGCAACCAGTGTAACAGATACATATTATTACAACATGTAAAGCAATGATCCACTGTAGTAATTGTGTGGCTGCAGAAAATACCATTCTACTCACTTGCTGCATTGTCCTACGCCACTACTTTAAGGGAAATAAATCAACTTTTTCTTTTATCGCTGGTGCTCATCGGGGCCAATTATAATTAGTGTAGGGGGAAAAAAAGTGGGCATACGGAAATATAATGACATGAAGGAGCATAACATATCTAGGATTCGCTCCATTCGTCATCCCTCTCCAGCGAATACCCATCAAAGCCTATGTGCTCATAACTTAATTACAAAACACATCACAGCCGCCAAACAGCCGAGATATTTTCATGCATTACGGCGATCACAGAAGCAGAGTCGATAGTTGTTTTTATTACTGAAAACACGCCAATTTGAGGATTGCGGAGGAGTGGAGAGAGTGGTTAGCCTCTGACAGCTTTTTTTTTGGTTTCTTGGCAGGGTTTTAAAATCACCACTACAATGTGCCGTGTTTCTTCTTTCCACTTCTTTCTCCCTCGTATTGTTTCTTTGTACGCGAGCGTCGCTCGTCTTTCTCGGCCTCTCTCTCCATCTCGCGCATGCGGAGGGGAGAGAGAGTTCTGGCTGGAGGAGGGCGAACCGACCTTCCTCTCAATGCGAATTATGAGCGTGATCTGGTCAATTCCCCACAGAGACTACGTTTCCACTTCAAAAGAGGGGCTGTACGCACCCTGAATACTGCCAGCCCGCAGAAAAGCCATTCAGACACCCAGAGGACCTGCAATAAACCCTGAAGCTAATGGCGCTCAGAGGATTCCAACACAGTGCTGAAAGCAACCGAGCTTCTGAAAATCCAAACCGTGAGCGTCAAGATGGGTTGATTAAGGCATCTACGATTAAGGAAGGTGGAAAGAACGACAAAGAACTACAAGCTACTGTCTTTAAACACTTTAAAAGACCGATTGAACGCCAGAGGCAAATTCCTGAAGTGATGGAGCGTATGAGGAGCAGAGGTCAAGGTCTGAGGTGCAAAGTTCACATCGGCCGTTATCAATAAAGACCTCCTGCGAGCGAGGAGCTCCTTACACAAATAATTAACGAGCCTTCGAGTCGTTCCATGATTTGTGCGTCAAAAAGGGCCTTCCAGCACTTTCATACTATGTTTAGAACATAAACAAGTGTGGGCTGCAGAGGAGAGAGCGCGACAGGCTGAAATATGTGCCGTTTCATCTGAAGCCAACTCCTAATGCTTCATACTGATCACCAGAGATATTCAGCAAAGGAAAACAAAACACAGGCCTATATGTAATGACGGTTTGCTGTAATTAAAAAAACACACACACACAGTCTTGCTGTGTTTGTAATTGGAGTGTAAATCCTTTCCCCTTGGTAGAGTTTGGTTTGGATGCTGGCAGGGGCGAGGGCTGGGAAAGTGGAGGGTGGGCATTTGCTTGAGTTAAAGGCCTCGTGGGTGAGATTGAGAGAGAGAGGGAAAAAAAAAGGAGAAAGGAGAGGGAGAGAGAGCTGTCACTTTAAGCCATTAAGTCTCGCTATAAAACTCCTCCAATAAAAATGACAGCTGCAGCCCCCTTTTCTCAAAAGGGGAGCAAAGGCATCACATCAGGAACACAGAACTGGACGGCCGTAAAAGACAAACTCGGCCAAATGCTTTTGGCAATGTAATTCCACCAGCCCACTCCCACCACACACACACACACACACACACCCCTCCCGGCAGACACATACCCTCTCCCTGTATTACCTTTGTTCCTGAGTTACTGCCAGAAAAGGAATGTCGGTCTCTCCCACACACACACAGCTCTTTAGCAGGTGGTGAAACAGGCGATCACTTTTCGGCAGCGTTAACTGAATTGTGATCCATCCAAAGTTTGGTTTCATAGAACTCTGGATCCTAAAGACGTCGCTCGAGTTTACTTTAATTCTGGTCACAATTCAGCGTACAAAATGTCTACAGAAAAAGTGTTGATCCGGTGTGTGGGACTGTTTGTTGTTTGTTTTAGACTCAGTTTGCCCAGTTTGTATACTAGATTTTTACATTAAACAGAGCTTGTTAGGTCATTTTAAAGAAAAACCGGTCGCCATTTTCTTACAAATTAGGTTGGAACAAAACTCTGTGGAACATTAATCAAGTCATAAAGGATGGCTGCACATTTCACAGCATAGTCTCTAACTGCATGCCATGTCAATTTTATTTTGACAAATGTGTCTGTGAGGGCTTTACAACCTGAACACGACGTACAACACAATACACCCCCTGGTTTGGATAAGGAACACTCAATAAATCAATAAAACCAACCACGTGCAACATTCAGCAGGTGAAACTTCATTGAGGAGAGCTGCTTAGTTGCCGACGGATTCGCCACAAAACAATCAACAAATACCGATCACCTGACTTCAAGGGGAAAAAGCCTCTTCACTTCAGCACTGCTGGGAAAGCTCTCCTTCCTCTTCACAACCACATTGTTTTAGCTCACTGACAGTCATCATCAGCAGCACACTGTACTGACAAAAAAGGACACGTTCTCCTTTCAATGTCAACCCTTCAGTCTTAACAGCTTAATGTCAGATATGGAGTGGGGGGGGGATCAGGCAGCACATCAGCGTACAGCGCCAAAGGGGGGGGATGTCGTCACCACAGCCGACAACCGATCTATAACTGTGAAACGCGCTGGCTGTCGTTTCAAACAGTCGCGTGTCAGGATTCCTAATGCGGCACGGCGGATAATTGCGCCGAGGAAAGCGACTAATCGATACGTTCAAGGACTCTGCAGATAGTGGCGCCCTTGAAGTGGCCAATTAACAATGGGCGCTCAAGTGGACCTTTGATGGAGCACGTTTTAAATATAAACGGGGGGCTGGTCGGGACCAACAGATAAGGACTACAGGCGATGAAAAAGCTGCTGATACAGCACGAGGAAGAGATGGGACCCAACACGGCTGGAAAAAATGTTCCTCCTCGTCCCAACAGTTAAGTGTTGAGCCTCACACCGACCACAGAGGCTTTCAGTGTGCGCAGCCCACATGAGCTGTCAACTGTCTGCTATGGTGCGCATTTAGGCAGACTGAAACGTGAATCACTTTCAGCGTGGACACACAATACGGTGCACCTGTAAAAACAGCCCGCCAGTGTGTGCAGCTCTGGCGGTTTTAGCGTTTTTTTCTGGGAAGCCACATAAAGGGCGTTGTGGCGACAGTGTCGGCGAGCGAGGTCTGTAACAGAAGGAAGCCGCCCGGCGTCTCAGAAGTCCCCCCCGTTGAATCTCCTCGGTGCATCCAGGCAGCTGATGATACGTGCGGAGGTGTAACGTGACGCCCTCATGAAAGAGCGGCAGACACAATACGAGGGCTCGCCTGCAGCTCTGGGCTGTATCTCTGCTGCAGGGGACAAGGGTCTGCTCTGTTCACTTTGACAGACTTACAGTAGCGTTCAGCATTAATCATTTACAGTGCAGTGTGTGTGTGTGTGTGTGTGTGTGTGTGACGAGTGTGTGTGTGTGTGTGAGTGAGTGAGATGAGTGAGTGAGTGAGAGCAGAGAGAGAGAGCCAGAGGTGTGTTGTGTGTTTGAGCTCCAAATTAAAAGGATCCCTTATTGGAAATGAGAGAGATAAAAGAGTAATGGTTTTAAAATAGAGTAAATCATGAGCTAAATTATTGTTGAACTTTTTCTGGAAATTCAAACCTGTTATTATTTCAAGCTCTGTACTGTCTGGAAAAATAAAGCATGAGAAATGAAATGGGAAAGTTGCCACTCTCCCTCTCAAAAAACTCTCCTCTGTAGTCTGTGAATCCTGTTCAATACTCAGAGCTGACAATGTCCACAGATCCTAGTGCAGCAGTTATCCCACACCTGTGTCACCTGTTTGTAACCGACTGACTGTGAAATTGCCTCTAATCTTCACTTGAGCACAGCTTTAAAGAGACACACGCAGACTGCCCTTAAGTTGGTTAACTTTGAGCATGGGAGGAAGGTTTAAATCCCCAATTTAACACGCTGCTTTAGCTTCATTTTCAAAACCATTAGCAGCACATTTAAAAAAAAAAGGTCAAACGGAAGCATTCAGCCGAGTTAAAAACCAGTCACGTGAAACATAAACAAAAGCTTCAACTATAGCAAGAGTTACGACTACGAAAAAAAAATAACACACACGACACATGGATAGCCTTAAGCACAGATCAACACATGCTAGAAGAGTTAAAAAAAAAAAAAAAAAAAACTCCTTCAACTGTTAGTGCAATAATAATAATTTGAAACGTGTTCAGTCCCACTCGTTCACGCTCGTGGCAACCGCTGAGGCGCACGGCTTCATCTCGGGTTGTCTCTTCCTCGCGACGCAAATTAAAACAAAGTTTCGAGCCAAAGTTAAAACAACTAGCTACATCTAATTGCGGCGCACGCGAGGTACGCGCCCAGCTCATCCCGAGCGAGGTGTCACTGTACCAAAGCGAAATGTCATCAGCTCGAGCAGCGGCGTTGGATATAATGCAACACAGAGAGGATGTATCTGGGGTTGGTGTGAGTACGAACGGTGAATCCGTGTGAGTGAAAATTAAAGAAGACAGCGTCCGCTACAGCCAGTCAACAAGCTCATGCGTTTGGCAACTCGCACGCGCTGTCAAAAAGAGAAAAGGAGGCAAAAAAAAAAGCACAACAAAAAAAAAAAAAACAGAGCGCGAGGACACGTTTCACACTTCTCTGCCGATGAAAGTCCTATCAAAGCCCTCACATTAGGAACACAGCAGGGCTTTGTCATTAAACAAACAAACTTACCCAATGACAAGAATGGTTTGGTTTCCATGTCTGTCTGGTAGGTTAGCTCATGCCAGCTGAGACGACCGCGTTTGGGAGTTTTTCCACAGGCTCGAGCGGACCAGACCAGACCAGGTCGCCGCCGCCGCCGCCGCCTCTGCTGCTGCTGTGGTCCTCTTCAAGTAGACTCGACTCGAAGCGGTAAAAGTGACAGGTCTGTGTCTGATAAGTCTCGGAAGATAAACCTAATGTTTCTTCTACCTCTGTTTGCTCACTCAGCTGCCGCGCTCCTCTCCTCTCCCTCTCGTGCTCGGTGTACAACAACTCCAACTACTGGATCTGCACTGCAAAAGGGACCTGTGCAGGGGGTACTCCCACCAACGTAGGCAGAGCTGCAGCGACGCCGCCACAAAACGGGAGCCTTAGCGTGAACTTTGAAAACGAACGACGCAAAAGCAAAAAGCAAAACCACACGCAGTGCGTTTCACCGTAGATATTAAAAAGTGTAGAGATTTCCCGCAAGGTAGTTGTTTTTCCAAATCACGCCGAGCACCCCCACCTTTTTCAGTTGAGCAGCAGCTACTTCTTTCTTTCACTGCTTATCTCCTGTTGTTTTAACCTGGTCACATCTGTTGAGCCAGGACTGTTGGCTCAGTAGATAGATGTTTCAACTGCATCTGCAATTAGCCTATATCTCTCTCTGAATAAGATAAATTGAACACACTTCTACAGTAGAGTTAGGGTTTGTTGGCATGTTATCCAGTCTGAATGACTGGAGAACTATTCAGTTATTTTAAACTTTTGAACTAAAAACCCAAGACTGACATTCAAAGAACTAAAACTCAAGTTCTGACTGCATGCTTGCTGTCTAGTTGAATGACCACCTAAATGTTTTGTAGGCCTACAATTTGTCCGCCCGGTCACAAAGCGATGTAAATTTGGCTTTATTGTGTCTTCAAGTAACAGAAAAAAAACAAAACACACTACATTGCTCTTTTCTAAGATAAAAAAAAAGTTCTCTGACAATTCCAGATACTATAACCAACTTCTAACCAAGTTAACATCCCTAACAATGAGATATTGTGTTTATAATATTGTGTTTATATTGGGTAAAAAGAAAAAATGAAAAATGAAATCCAGACCGGGGAAGTTGTGCAAGCTAAAATGTTAACAAAATCAACATTTTTCTCAAAACTCCCCACTCTACATCTGCTTATGTTTACTAAATTCAAACTGTAATCTGCCAACATGGCACAAAAAAAAAAGAGAGAAAAAGCTATGAATTTATTGCAGATGCATCAAAGTATGGGGCAGATTCACATATAAGCCCCCCCCTCGGCTAGCTTTACGGCAAGCGGCGGCGCGCTCAATTTGCAGAACTCTCACTGCATCAGAGCGGTGCGAGATCCAGATCGCTGCCGCCGTCCTCGCTGCTACGCCTCTTCTGACCATGACAGTTTATGCCTAATTCAAGCCACATCCATCTTGTGTGCACCTCCTCCCCTTCAACACTCAATCCTGTGCACACAGAGGAGACACATGCTTCAGGAGAGTGAAAAATGCCCCTTTCTGTGGCCCAGTTTGAAGGAGGGTACCACAGATGAGCTTCCCCCCCCCCACCCCCACCCCATACTGTAAAATCCCTTATGCAGTGCATATAGGAGCAATGTAGGCTACACACACACCTCCTCCAGCCATCCTCCAGGTCCCTGCAACGAGCCTGCTCCTATTAAGCACTTGAAGGTGTTCACCACATTTGTACTGAGGCGAGATACATAATTAATGCAATGCATGGCACATCAAAGATCAAAGGCAGTTGTGTGAAAAGAAAAAAAAAAAAGAGAAAAGTTAAGTCTGACTGGGCACTGATTCAAGGTGTGTTTTGTGTGTGGGAGAATGTGTGCGCATATTATGTGCGTAGGTGTGAGGAGAGAAAAAAATGAGTCCTGCAGATTGCCTGATTATTCCACTCAAGCCCTCGCTTTTGTGCGGCTATTTCCTTCATCTGTGTCCCTAGCAGACGGTTATCAATCATCAGACGGTGTCACGTTGGTACGATGATGTTAAGTGAGTGTTAATTGGCTGGGTAAATGCTCATCAGAGGGGGAGGGGGGGAGGGCAGCGGCTGGACATCCTACTCTTCCTCGGTTCAGGAGGCTATCTTGCCTCGGGCCTTGGCCCTGTAATCGAAGACAGACACAACACGGCCTTTTTAAACACCTCGATCAGGCCGGGCTCTCTCATCTGCCCGCTACAACGAGCAATTTAATCCTCAACTTGGGCCATGATTAATAGCTGTGTGACCCTTCACCTCCGTCCATATAAATTCTCTGGAGGCTGTTCTGGCTCTCCTCGACGGCTCACACCTCTGCTCGTGGAGGTTCTCCAGTCTCTACTTAACTCCTAATTGCGACGTCTCTTGGCTCGGTTCTATCTTTCTCGTTTTGCCGCGTGTTTTTCCCTACTCTGCAAGCAACGCGTTAGGCCTCCGGGGATGGGAGCCCGCCGTTACGATACGCTCTGCTATGGTTGCTTTGACAGCCTGACCTCCTCCTCTTTCTCCCTCTCTTAAAGTGGGTGATAAATGAGACAAGGGCCTTTTGGTCTCCTTTGTACTTTGACCATTCACAACAAGCTCATCCGTAAAAGCGATTATGGCCTCTTTCAGTGGCAATGACAATGGTTTCCAGTCCCGAGGAATGTACGGATAAATATGCACCGCAATTTTTTCGATTGTTTCATCAATATAATGTCATGAAATGGTGAAAAGGGCCCATTACAATTTGCCAGTCTAAGGTAATGTCTTCAAATAGCTTGTTACGTCCAACCAACAGTCCAAAACTATATTAACTATACAAAAGTACTCAATTTACAATGACTTAAACACAATACAATTCTCAAAATCATCAAATTAGAGAATCTGGAACAATCAAAAGTGAACTTTTTGCTTGATACAACAGCCTGACATTTCTCTGTTGTTGTTTTCTTTTTATCCCACTTCAGCGTGGACATGATTGAGGGCTGAGGAAAAAGGTGTGCTCTAAGGAGCACAAAAGCATGTGAGATCATTAGGGCGTTTGCTGAGGTGTTCGGCATTGTCCGCCCTGAGGGAAGGTCTTGATCGTCACAGCTCCGGGTTCACATTCCTTAACCCCGGGGTCAGGGCTTTGTCTGAGGATAGCACCGAGGCGACTTCCCCTGCGGAAATCAACAAGAGCTGACACACTGAACGCTGGAGACGCACACAGAGGCAGGAAGAGGGACCACCACACACACAGAGTTTATGGTCATAAACATGGCTATTTTGTCTAAAACCCGAGAAAACTGTAAAAAAAAAAAAAAAAAGCACCATATCAGCATATGTGCTTTTGGTGCACTTAAGACAAATCTCATACTTTAGGTTTTTGCTGACCACTTTGGAATACATGCTTTACAGTCAGCCTGATAATCTGAACCACTTTATTTGGTGGGAAAACTGAAACTGCATCCAAAATTACAGTACTAATCTCTCTCTGCACAGGAAAACTGTGGGACCACATAACTACAGCAAGTATGGATGGTCAACATTTTACCAAGAAGTCCATAAACTGTGAGGAATGTTTGCAGTTGACAATAATTGTAGCATTCGCCTTCATTTTCCACAGATCCCAGTAATTAGCTTGGTGAGTGCAGTATCAGTGATAGGAATGATGGCCAAATCTTGGAAAATAAAATTAAGTTGTAAAAAACATTTAATTCTATCAAGGTCCGCAGTGTAGGATTTAGTGGCATCTAGCGGTGTAGTTGCAGATTGCACATCTCTCGCTTCACCCTCCCTTTCCAAACGCGGAGAGGAAACTACAGTGGCTGTGAAGTGCGGGAAAAATGCAAATGGCCTTTTCTTTAACCAGTGTTTGGTTTGTCCCTTCTGGGCTACTGTAGAAACGTGGTGGTTCAACATGGCTCCATGGAAGGAAGATAAAAACAGTTTATTCTTAGGTAACAAAAACACAACAATTCTTGTTTT